GATCACTCTGAAGCTTTACTCGCAGCTGTCATAATCGATACCGGACTTAAACGGATGTCCCGTTAAAGGGAACGCGGGCCTGGAAAAATCAGTCCGGTAGAACGCATATTTGTACGTCCCAGGTAGATCAGAATGTTGAATTTACCATTCAACTTCACGCTGTAACAGAAAAGTGCAAATTAATTCTCCATCTCAGCGGCCGCGAAGCGGAAAACTTGGAATCGTCCAGTATTAATGGAAGAACGAAGCACCGGAGAACCATTTAAATATTTGACCAATGAGAATTCCTTTAGTCGTACCCGAGGCCGGCGAGCCTCGTAATTGTCGCAGTTCTCTCTGATTTTTTCCATTTTTTCACCGGAAAAAGACACATTAACCGCCGCTCGTCAAATCTATCGAGCCAATTAGCGATTTTACAGCGGGCCGCACTGAAAGTATCCGTCGAGCCTCCACGCTCAGCGCAAAACGAATACCCTTTTTCATAGAACGAGCCATCCCGACTGTTTTTACATAATTACAGGCCTCGATAATTCGGCCGAATCGAGCCGATGGACCGCCCCCGATACCACGACGCGCTCGCTTCTTTCGCACGGTGGGATAACGCGCAAGAAACTTGGATACGCTGTTTGCGGGGGCGCCGCGCGAATTCGCTGGAATTTATTGAACTACGGTCGCTTGCAATAATTATGCGGCCGCGTCCGATCGAAAAAGAGGAAAAAGCGTTATCGCCGGGGAAATTAAATTCCTCGGCACACGCAGATCTGGTCCGCGCCACGGTTATTCCGGAATTTTGAACAATACCACGGTTTTTCCTGTTCCGCGGTTTGATCGAATTAACTCCGAAATAACTATTCCCGGTGCTTGACTCAGGAGCGAATCAATCTCATGACGAAGGATCAGAACGTTATTAGACATTATTCACCTTAGGAGGTCGAACCTCGTTTTCGAGACACCAGAGTTTTATATTCGAGATTCAAAGTTAGCGACTTGTAATCGATTTATTCGAATAACAAAAGACCGATATTCAATTCCCTTTTTCTTTAATATTCAGTTCGACAGTTAATTTAGCTTCGTCTGCTCGAGGTATCGTTTGCGTAACAGTCGGATCGCCTACAATCAGGAACTTCCATTTATGCATTTATGACATACCCGAGTGCATCGGATATAAACTATAAAGTGTCCGTAAACATTTCGGAGCGCTTTACTTTCAACTCAGACGCATTCCCAACGGAAGAAGTCTTACTTCTCGCTTAACTCCTGTTTCACGAGACTACTTCAGGAAATTGTCATGTGGCAACAAAGATTTATTGCCTATTTATCGCTCTTTATCGAATCGCACAACCGCGTTGCACGGTTGGGGGTGTTTTGAACGGCAGAACGCGAATCCATAATATTCGGAAATGCCCGTTGCAAACCTGCCCATTATTATTCCGACAAAGCGAATCTTCTCGCCGTGCAACATCGCGGCGCAAGAATTATTCTCAACCGTGCATCGACGACGGGCTATTCAAAAACGGAGGTTCGACGCGCGCCATTTCGAATCGTTTTAAAATTCATCGCCGGTCCCATTAAAAAGTTTCGAAGCCCGGACACCTTGAAAAGACCCGGCTGCTGCAGGAGCTCTCGGCGTAACCGCGCGAACGCTTCGCCGGGCGTATTGTGTACCGCGAGACAGCTGGATCCGGGAGCGCACTCTTCGAAATGAACCCGGTAAACGAGGCTTCCTTCAATTCACGCGAACCGATTAATCATCCGGCCAATTCTCTCCCCACGGAGTTCGCTCCGCGATGAAACGTCGTCGCGCGACGCGCGGTGCGTCAGCGAACATTAACCAGCCCGCAGCCAGAATCATCGGCCGGATCGAATGAACGAATTAAGTTCTCGTTGGGTCAATGCGTGACGCAGCCTCTCGTTTTCTTTGTCTACCCGGCTATTCAGCTCGTCGAGCGTATTACCTCGGAACCGACGTTCCTCGAGTTCTACGTTTCGTCTCATCACGATTTACCAGACACTGTTCAAGAAAATAGGTTTCTCGCTATGCGTTTTGTTCGTAGTTGTGATTGGTAGTGTGTAACTTTACCGATGAATAGCTAATTAATATCGATAACGAGAAGAGGGAAGACGAAGGCTGAGCAATTAGACCGTCATTCCTCCGAGAGCTCTTATAACAAGCATCGCAGAGTACATTGCTTGCTACATTACGGCCGATTAGTTACTTATGTATAATTATTATATCGCCACAACACACAGAATTTCCTGAAGTCAATTGGCTTCTTGCCCGACCAGTGAAATGAGAACATGGAGATTTGTTAGAAATACTTTTATTTTAAATCTGATGTTGCTGATGGTTACTTGGTTGCTTGCTGTTAGACTTATTACATTAAAATCCAGCACGCATCGATCGATTTAGACATCTACCAAGTAAGGGCAATAAAATTCAGTATGCGTGAAATTGGTGCGTTCCGTTATCCCCGTCTTAAATCCGGCTACTCCTTAAACCCACTGCGCCGCAATCCTCTGAGTTACATGAGTCTCGACGTAGGTCGATCGCGTTCCTCTCGCACAAATCTGCCGGGAAAAGGTCCCCAGACGTGAAACGGCGCGTAACCGTAGAACAATCTTGCCGGCGCCCGGGGACCCAGCGACAAAAACGGAAGTCAGGAAACGGAGCCGCGTAACCGCGGCGAAAACGCGTGGAACGGTCCCCGCGAACCATCCGGTATGTCGAAAACGTTCTAAATTCGTGTAACGACCGCGAAACTTCATTAATTAGCAGCCAGCAGAGAGCGGCCGCGGTCTCAGCTGAGAAGAGGAAGCTTAAAAGCGTAACGAAGTTCCGACAGGCAATTATATTTTCAGTTGGAAATTTTCCGCGGCGCCTCTATCGGCTAAGATATCGCCTGGCAAGCCGCGCGCCGAACAATCCGTCCGCAACGAGACACTCCGGGGAGAATGCGAAATTAACTTCCGTTTTCGATTCGCGCTTTATTGGGCCGCGATAACCGTGAATTAATTAATTCGCGGACGCGCCAAGCACGAATGAACGAATGAACGATATTTTGCGCCGTGCCGCGCCGCATGGCGAGCCAATACCTGGCAGCCCGCAGGGCCCAGGAACGCGCGCGCCCTGCTCGATCGAAATTGAAAACTCATTCAGCGGGACAATCGTTTCCCCATATTCCCCGCGTTCCTCGATTCCTCCCAGTAATCCTCGATCCCGTTGCCTCGACCTATCCCTTTTCGCCTCTCCACCTTTTCTTCGGTTACCGAGGGCTTATCCGCGCGACAGACGAACGTACACTGTCGGGAAAAAGTATGTTGAAGTCGCGGTTCGAATGTAACGCTGTCTTCTGTTCCGAATTCTCAACACAGATCTGAATATAGCGGGAATCTGTGTGACAGTTTCTGTTAGAGAACATTCGTTTAACGCTCTAACAATAGAATTAATCAAATGGATTTAGATGATCGACTTGATGTAATAGTAACTAGCGGTAAGACTATCGACGATTTTATAGAATTGATATGATTACAAATTGTAATAGATTTGTTTCGGTTTTTTCGGATATTCGGTATAGTATCTAAGTGAAACCATTTACTTTTTAATTTCGAAAATTATTTAAGATATCGATGGTTACGAGATAAAACACTGGAATCAGTCATTTTCACTGGTACGTGGTTCTGGTGATAGGTGAATAGGAGATTAATTTAAAATCAAAGTGGACTTCTTTTATTCTTAATTACATGTTTGTTAATCGTATTTGCCATGTGCTGAGATGATTTCGTTTAACGCTTTTGTCTTCCATGAAAAATATGTTGAGCTTTAATCGAGTGTCAATGTATTCGTTCGTGGTCCACTCTTCGTCGACCGAGATTTTCGTGACAACGATGTCCGTCGGTCCACGCTTGGACGGAAAATGGGATTTTCTCGGTACGAGTAATTTGTCCAGCCGGCGCTGCGCTGAAGGACAATGTTAACAGTTGTTAGAAAACGCCAGCGGTGTATGAACAGTTTTTTCGCGCGGCTGTACTCGCCGCGTCAGAGAAAACGAGCAAACTGAAGCCTTCGAGGCAACTTACGACTCCGCCTCGCGTAAAATCCGGCAAAAAACTGGGATGCGCTCTCCTGTCCGTCGCGAAAACCGACTTCCCGGAATTTTCACATTGGCTCGCGGGGCTCGCTTTCGCCTTGCTTCCCGAAAATATCGCGCGGAAAATTTAGGGACGGTGTCTGCGGATTGCTTCCTTGCAGCAATTAAACAAGAACCGCGTTTTCCATTCCGTTCGCCGATGTGACACGGGGATTCCGTATGGAATCAAAATCGCATCGATGCTCCGTCTTACGGTAGACTCGATTGAATCGTTTGAACAATCGGTAAGCTTCAGGTAATCGACAAACAATAAAGGACTCTCCGTCCGATACCATTGTTGCCTGGTCACGAATGAATTATGCCACAAATCGCTTCCAAGGAAGAAACAAAATTCCGTTGAAATACCAATTCCGCCGTTTCCTCGAGATAGTTCCATAATACAAGAACACAAAGATCCATAATTCAGCTATCATTCTGCCACATTACTCGGCAGATGCGATTGAACCGTGTACATACTTATCACCCGTCACGTCTCGATGCGCTATCAGTTCGAGGAAATATTTGGTTGTTTACAACGCACGTGTCCACACTGTGAATCACGGTCCGATATCGGTTTCATTCCGATCTTATTTACTAAAACGAAAAACAAGGAACGAATTTTCAGCGGACCGATAGCGTGTATCGGACCAGTCTCAAAATTCGGCCATCGCGTCCCCCTCGAGAAGTCGATTTCCCGTGCAGAGAAACGCGATCTGCCCCAGATTTCGTTACGGATCCGTGATCTCTTTCACGTGTTCGGGCCATTCTTAGTTCCCCTCTCCCCTCCCAATTGCGGGGGCGTCGCGGGAGGCGGACGGACCGACGGACGGACGTAGGCGAGGACCAGCGGAGCAGACTGGGAACGTCAGAGTACCCTACGACTGCGTCGCGTGCGCATCCCGCCTGCTCGATCGTGGTCTGCTCTGGATCGTCGCCGTTCGGCTCTCGTCTCCGGAGCGTGCGTCGAGAGTTCGCGATCGATCGATCGTTCGTGCGCGGATCGCCTGAGCCGTTGCCCCTCGAAACGGTGCTCGATCCGGTGTTCCCCGAAGCGGCGGATATCCTCTCGAAAAGGATCCACCGGCAAACACGGGGAACGAGATAAGGAGGGAGGAAGACGGTAAGAGAGTCGCAGGATCGAACGAGATCACCGCTCGAACGATACTTCAACGCGAGAGGAAACATCCGACGAGCGACCGTCGCTCGTTGTTTGGTGTTCGCGGTTACGCGTCTCCACGAGGTCCCGTAAAACGCTCACGGTCTGGCGAGCGACGCGTTTATCGAGAAACCGTGCAAACATCGATCGACGACTCGTTCGGGGAGACCTCTTTACGAAGCCGGCTCGCTGCCACGCTTGTTAGTCTCGGGGAAGAGGAGTGAACAAAGAAATTTGCTGGCCTTCTGCGAAGGAAAGGAGGAAACCCGCCGCTAGTCTTCCACGGAGAACAGGAAACCCGCTGGTTTCTCGCGGAGAAAAGGGGGAAGCTCGTTGTTTTCCACGGCGAAGAAAAAGAAAGCGCCGAGATTTTTGCGCCCGCGGTCCAGCGCAGCGCCGACTGGATCCAGCGTCGGAGCGATCGAGGAGAAGGAACGAGGCGGAAGAAGAGGGAGAGAAAGAGCGAGCGAGCGATGCGCTGAAGCATCGATCACGGACGAGCGCGCGGGGATGAGCGAGCCGTTCAATTAAAGCGTTCCAGAAGCGCGACAGAGAGCGAAGGAACTGGGGGAGCACGGCAGCCAGCCGCGTGACTCGCTTGGAAAATATTAGTCGAGGAGTACGCGGCTCGTGCGATGTTGCTGCCTCTTGTTAGCGTGTCCGCGGACCGACAGTCGCGCTGAGTCGATCCGATCCGTTTCGAATCGGTGCCACCACGGTGATCTAGTTCGAGGCCGCGCCGGTTCCAGCCGGAAACAGGGGTTCGCGTTGACAACTGGGGACCTGGTGTTGCCGTGCAGCCGGTTCGTTCGAAAAATTCGATCGAAAGTCCGCGGATCATGCTGAGAGGCTCCGGTTACGCGTGATCCCGATCGACGCGTGGTCGATGCGTGCCGTGAGAGACTGATCGATTCCTGGGGCTGACCGAGCGCGAGGTCTTTTCGTCTTTCTCCAAGGTTTTGTCAACTGATCGCGAACATAATGAAGTGGTGTTTAGTGTTGCTGATTCTGGCTGGTGTCTCGTGGGCCGACAACACCCTCAACACTTCGGAATACTCGATATTTACGTGCCCCAAGCTGAAATCTCAGGAGGAGATCGATCTCGACAAGGTGAGTGCTACCGAAACCTTTTCGCCCTTTCGCGCGCTGGACCGACGTTCCAGCTACGTTACGTAACCATGCTACGAAATTAACGATCCAACGCGACCAGCGATCGAGGATAGCTACCGAATAGAGCAGATGATTAATCTCGAACTTCTTCGGAAGATTAACGGCTCGTTCCTTCGAATTTACCGTGACATTGTTGTAACTTCTACGCGAGTATGTGTATTCGTTTCATCAATTCATAGATTTCACACGTTCGGATATTGTAGATATTGTGAATAGCGAAGTCTCTACCTGTTCGAATTAACGGGGAGACTGAAGTGTTTCGGCAAAGAATTTATCGAGCGATAGTATGGAAGAATGAAAATTCTATCAAACGTTTATTATTCCTTTATCCCCTTTGGTTGCTTAACCACGGAAATTTTTCGACGTATTTACGCGACAGCGTGCAGTTTCATACTAAATCGGTACGATCAGAATTCCTTTGATCGAAACATCCGTTGTTAGAACACTCTGTGTTCGAGGAAAAGAATGTTCGGAACCAGGATACACGGATATAAAAAGTTCAATTGTAATCCGTTACGCCTGTACAGATTTTGATAGCCAACGTTTCAACCCTTTGCACTTCATAAGTTTGTCACTAGAAATATTCAATGTTTTCTTTTTATATGAAATATACACAATGTTTAAAGCTATCTTAAGGAAAAGTCAATTTATGGATTAAGGAACAGTGCTATTTTTCAACATTTCCCATATGGACGTATTACACAAAGCTTATTGTTAAATATTAAATTTTACAATTGTTCTGTATCAAATCAAGTGGTGGTTAAAAGACACTTCCGGAGTGCAAAGACTTAATAAAGGTATCGATGAAAATCGTACGAATTAGTTCTTTGCTTCCTTCGAATATTCGTGTATCGCGATTGAACTTTATTCGATAATTTAAAGACTAATACGATAATTATCTACGGTAATTAGCACAGTCGATAGGTATATTTAAATATTCATGCAAATTCGGATGAACGTGAATTCATTTGTGAAAGTTTAAACGAAAGAATGGTTTAGTAATTGGAAAGCATGATCACAGATGTTCGGTGCATTCGACTTGGTTTGCTTCAAATATCGAAATCGCGTTACCATTATCAAGCGATCATTTGCACAGCTTTTTCCATTGGGATTAAGAATTCGTTGGATAGGAGATTCTCCACCTCTTTTCCTCTTAGGCACGAACAGACACCATGTCCCAGGAACTTCTTAATTGCGTCATTAAATTCGTGTCACGTAGAGTAGAACGAACGATCAAGGCTTTTCCGCGATTACCGCGAGATAATTATTCGGAGTGTTTCTAAGAAATGGTTGTTTGTATCTTTAATGATAGGAATGGGGAATCTCGTTCGTCGAAAGAAGAGCAACGCGCGCCTCGACGAAAAATATATTTCTCAGGGTTTCCCTACCGTAGATCTGCGACATTGTATTTGCATAGCTTCCCTTTCGATTAACACTACGTACAACTAGATGGATCAAAATCTCTAATATCATGTTTCTTATTTTACAATTGTTCAACGAGATTCGATGCTTTTCCGACGAATTTTTAAACAAAATTGATATATCAGTGCGCATTCCGAAGTTTACCGCAATCTTAACGCATTGAACATGCGTTTCTTGCAAGCATGTAGTAACCCACAAAAATTGGAATAATGAATTATATAAAATTAATATCTGAAATTATATAAGAAATTAACTGTAAAGAAAATAAGGAAGTAATAAAATTGAAGGACGACACGTTGTCAAGAGAAATGAGAGATTACCATTGGTTAACAAAGTAGTAAGAAATGCATTCTTAATCTATATAACAGAATATTTATAAGAATTTCGGTAGCTCTATCAATAACTTTTACCCACGAATACAATTTCTATTAGGTTGATCCATAAGTTTCTCTCGAGCTCTGTCCGCGACGTTTACTTCGGCAGAACTTTGAAAAGGCGGCGTTACGTCGTTTCAGCGGGCAACTTAACAACGTAATGCAATATATAAATCATTACGCGTCTATTACGTGCTAACACTAGAACTACGTACCAGTAAGATTAATGAATTAAATAAATAGTATCATTGGAATACTACAATGAGTGTCCGAGGAAACTGAAAATAATCTATAGTTACAATTTTTATAGGGATTACATATTAATCGTATCAAAAGCTCGGTACTTCTAGTGTTAATAAAACGAAATCTAGGACACCGTAACGCATTGTCAATCCAGTCCCCCGGTACGCGAACGCGCGTGTTTTAATAACGAATTTGTTATCGCTCATTCCATTTCGCTAAAAGCTGCATTTAATGCTGCAATGGAACCGAGGAACGCAGAAATTCACTGTGAGTAGCGCACGGACAATCCGCTCTTCGGGGATTGATTGACGAGGGAAGGATTTCAGGGCGCGCAGAAATGTTCAATTTTGCAACTTCCGAGAACGGCCATGAATTTCGGAACGCGCCGCTCCCACCGGAACATTCTTCCGTTGAACATTTCGTTTTCCCCACGGACAGATCGAAGGAGGTTTTAACGGACCGTTGTAACGGTGTACGCAAAATATTCCTGCCACTCCTTGCAATCCGTGCGCTTACACGATACCCCAGCCGCTGTCGAGTTCTTCCGGAAACCCTTTTCAAAGGTGGGATGAAATATCGACGTGAGGCCGTTCTCGTCTCCTTCGTTTTGTCACGGGGAAAAGGGAAAAGACGCGTGGAGCGGTCTTCGTCGTTTTTCAATGGAAAAAACCTACTGTTAGTATACATTATTAACGCGTCGAACGCCGGATGATTTCTCGGAGCGAATTACACAAAATCAAATTACTTAATAGCATTTGTGTTTCATTATTTGTGACTGAAAAGTTCTCAGATAATCGTTTAACGAAAATCAACGATTTACTCCTAGGTGACTCCTATGCTGTGTAATATGCTATTTTTCCAATATCAATTCTATGTTAGAATTCTTATGAACTATGAATTTAGTTCATTACTGTACCTAATTGTATATATTCCATATATTTCTAAAACATTCATAGGGAAATTTATCACACCGTTTATCCCATTATGGAATAATCGGTGCAACTGCCGGTCGTATATCTCCGCGATCGCTTTAAGAGTTTCGATTCCATGAAAAACACCATTCGTTATAGGATACACCAGTGTCGCTCGCGTAGCGCCAGACCGATCGCCCCCAATGAAAATGCAAAGATTCCCCTGGAAAAATGATTTATATCATCTCCCGCCGCGAAGTTTATCTTCAGAAGATACAAATCCTGCCCGCTACGCGCGTAGATTAATGCGATTCCGATAACCGAGGTTCCGTGCGAGTACGAAAGGCGCGACAGCTGCGCGTCCCTCTGTTTCCCACTCTTTTTTTTCTCCGTTTTTTTCCTGTCCTGATGGTTTTTCGCGTTTGTTCGGACGGCAGTTCGTAATAGAAAGAGATCGGCCCGATTCCCAGTGGGTCAGAATTAAAAATAAAAAAAAACACGCACACACATATACACACACGAAAAATATAAAACGAAAAACGCAGGAAGCGGACAGGTTCCAACGCAACCAGCCTGATAAATGTAATATCGATAACAACAGGAACGTGTCCGGCCGACGCGTTTTCAGGGACGCGTTTCCAGTTTTTCGTTTCGCCGGCGATTAATTAAAAAATCATTTTACGGGAGACGAGAGAGGTATTCCTCTCTGTTAGGGGACGGGCGCAGCTTCAACTTCAACAGAGGGAAATCGGTCGCGCAGCGTGTATCGCGATTATGCCCGGGATGCAACGCTTCCGACGTCCGGTCGGATATCGATATTTTCGCGCGAGAAAGCATTCGGGTCGAAGCATCTATCGCGATAATGAAGCGCATACCCTGTAACTTATTGAACGCTCCTTTGATTAATCAATACCTTTGAATATTTTTTTCGGAATTCAAACCTTCGCGTCAAAGCCCCGCGAAACATGAATATTTGAAATTTTTGAATATCGAATGTTCGTCGGCTACGGATATTTCAATTGCTCGTACAGAATGGAAGGGAATGTATATCAATTCCATCTCGATTCTACTGGACTATTTCATTTAAATTCAGCCTCCAATCGACACTAATTAAATCTCCATAGAATAGCATAGAACATTACGCGCCTCTGAAATTAGAATGAATTTCCTTCGTTCGTTTAAATCGACGGCTGGCGGAAACTAATTGAAAATATAACGATATTACTTATACCGATCGTCGACTCCTGTCGTAATCTAATAATACAACGCGTATTCGTTATCGTTTCCCCCAAACGGACACCTCGCGACATCTTGATTCACACGTAGCTCTTGAATCTTGCACGCGCATGCATAAGAGACAGAGTCAGCCAATAAAATCTGATCGTTACTATTATGCCTTTGTATCACGGCTTACATGAAGACATAAAAAGCATCCACCTTGGTCGACTGCAGCCGTGACGGTGTCATCTTACTTTTCCTCGTTACCTATTCCGCGTTATCCGCGCGACACGCGGATCCGTGTGGCGAGCAAGGGCCGTAAAAGCATAAAAGAACAACGTTTTCCCGTGCACGCGCGTCGAAACGACGGAGGCGAGGCCGAAGTTCCGCAGAAAGAGCGCAGCTGCGTCGCGGCCACGTAACTCAGAAGTTAGAGTGACGTTGCCGGTGATCACGCGACCGAGAACGGTAACCGGGCGTGCTCGGCTCGCTCTCGCTCGTGGAAGTCGGAATAAATTGGAACGAATCAGCCGCGGCGCGGCGTCGAGACGACCTCCGATGGGGAAAAGCAAACATCCGGAACCCGGAAGTTCCACGGAAACGTAGCTTCCGATTCAGCTGGAAATGCGTTCGCCCTGGAAACGTTGGATTTCCGACTACCATACCCTTTCAGCCTTTAATTTCCAGCTCGAAATCGAGATGTGCAATGGTCTTTGCTCCAAGAAAAGGATCGTTCACTCTAATCCTTTCGCAGTGAGTCCCATATTTCCCT